CCTTCCAGCCTAGAGCAGGCACAGGGGTGCTGGGTGCTGAGACACCTGCCTGGCCCCAGGAGACCCCGGGGTAACAGCTGCCCCGACACCTCTCCTCCCTGCACCCATCTCCCCGACAGCGGAGGCTGGTGCAGAACTTGGCTCCGCCTTAGCTTGGCCCCGGATCCAGCCCCCTAAGCACTGCACTGGGGCCCGTATGGGGCGGGCAGCTTCCCTGCAGCGCCAGGCAGCAGGATGTGGCCTGCACATCCGCTGCCGAGTTTGGCTGTGACACTTGCAGGGCTGTTGGCCCGAGTTCAAGAACCAGCAGGTTCCCAGGAGTCTGATCAATTCACCCAGCAGAACCCAGGGTGTCCTCGAAGCCTGGGAACCCAGGTGTTGCTCCCCTGGCTCTGGCCTTGAACTGGACCAGCTCTCGGGTGCCCTGACAGGCAGCCAGACAGGGAATCAGCAAACGGGGGATGGCAGGAGACCCCAAAACTGCAGCCCTCAGGAGAAGTAGAGCAGTGGGTCTCTGGACACTGGAGCTGTCTGAGCAAGAGGGGCTGGGAGCACACACAGGCCGGGGCATGCAGACCGGGGCACGCACACAGGCCGGCACCCATGCAGGTTGGGGTGTGCACACAGGCCGGGGCACGCACACGGGCTGACTCAAACCAGTGCGCTCGGGCTTGGCGCTCGGGGCGTGATGGGTGGGCACGCTGAGGGGAGACCAGGCCAGTCTGACCTGGAATCCTTCCAGGGTGCAGAGCTGGTACCACCTCCAGCTGGGGGCTGTGCAGCACCCCAGGGCGGGAGGGGCCTGGGCTGGAGAGGGGCCATACGTCTGTCTGAGCGGCCTGTAGGGCCTTGTTTGGCCGCACTCAGGATCCCTGCAGAGCGCAGCCGGAAGCCAGGCCCCCGTCAGCCATTAACCAGTGTGCCACTGGGCGCTCCCCCCACGTCCCACGGGCAGGTCTCTCCCAGGGCGATGCAGGCGGGGCCCAGAGACGTGCCCTGAGATGCTGAGGGCAGGCCCTGACTTGCCAAGCAGCCGACAAGCTCCTGCCTTTGCTGGTGTCACATTGTTGCCGGCACCCAGTGCCGAGAGGCTGAACAACAGCTTGAGTTGGTTCGTTACCCGGTGTGCTACACCCAATAATCACAACGGGGTGGAGAAGCAGAAAAGTTTATTTGCAGCTGCAAAAAGGTACAGGGAGAATAAAATCTCAAATCCTGCACCACAGAGCAGGAAGTTACACAGGCTTTTATACATCCTTTTTCTCAGCATACTTATCCAATAGCAAGCTGCCCCAAGTATCCATATAGCCAGCCAATCCAGTTCCCAGCTAGTTCCCTGATTCTCTGTATCATTTGTTAAACTAAACATAAAGCTGCTTTATTCAGCATTGTTCTTCCATATCTCCCCTGTTTGGCCTTGCTTAGTTTCAGGCAGTCTGACTCTGCAACATATTGTTGCAGATTCTCAGCATAACTGCTGTGTGTGCCTCCAGGCCGGGGGGGCAAGGACACTTGGGCCTAGCACGCAGAGCTGCTGCGAGTGCCTCCAGGCAGAAGGGGGGGCCAAGGACACCTGGGCCTAGTGCGAGGGGGCTTCATCGACACTCGTGGTCTTCCATCCCCTCGAGTTACCTAGTGGCCATGCCCCAGTGTCCCCAACAACATCAGTCCCTTGGGCCGGCTCCTGCCTGCTGTGCCGGGCGCCAAAGAGCTCCCAGGAGCTGTCTGGCGGAAATCTCCCCCCTGCCCCTCCCGGCTGAGCCACCCCCTGGCACAGGTGGAAGGTAATATTAGCACTAGGTCTCCCAGCTGGGAGACTCCCTGGGGCAGCGCTTGTCCAGCCCCCGGCAGCCAGCAACAGGCAGAGGTAGGTGGGCTCATCTCTCGTTTCCCCCATCCCGCACAGCGTCCGCCTTCCGTGCACGTCCTCGCTCACCGCACCTCGCGGCTTTTGCTCCCGTGTCCGGGATGACCCTCATGCCCTGTTCCCTTGGGGCGTTCTCTGATCTCAGCAGGGTTTGCAGCTTCCCCGGTTTGGAGTCATGGGGCAAAGTCATTAGCGTGGTGCTAACGAGGAGGCTCAATGCGTCCAGTTCCGTTCTCTGGAGCTGGGTGCGGCGGCCCCCATGACTCGGCCCAGGCAGGGTGGGGCTGGGGGCTTGTTCTGCAGCGTCGGCTCCTCTTGTCTCTGAGCAGCTCCTGCCCTGCGGAGAAATGTCTGGCCAGAAGAGGAGGTGGCAGGACTGGCCTGACAGCGCCTGGGAGCCAGGGCCACCGAAAGCGGCCCGGCTCTCCCCGGAGCCAGGGCCCAGCTGGAGGACAGATCCTTGCGCCATCCTCACTGACTTGGAAAAGCTCTGCGACCAGAGACCCCAGCAACTCCTGCCCTTCCTGCTGGAGCACGACTACCAGCGGGAGCAGCTCGGAGAGAGCCCAGGCCTGAGCCCTGCCAGGGTGTATACGCTGCTGCGGGCCTTGAAGCTGGCGATGGAGAGCGCTGGCAAGCCGGAGCAGGTCCAGCAGGTCCTGGCCCTGGTGCTGAGACCAGCTTTCGTGCTCAGGAGCCTGCTGGGCTTCATTGCTGAGCTGGAGAGCTTCCAGCACCAGGACGGGCAGATCCCCCGGGAGGTGATGGAGGACACGGTGGCGGCCCTGCACCATCTGCTGACGGCGTCCCCCAAGCAGACGAAGACCCTCCTCTGCTACCCTGTGGACCTTCTCTTCGCCACGGTCCAGAGACTGCAGAGCCGCGGCTTCGAGTTCACATGGATCATCCAGAAACGACTTCACGACACCAAGAGCCTGGTGGACGCGATCTTTCCGCGGAGCAGTGCGCCCCTCGCCTCGCCAGCCTGGCGGGAGGATTTCCACACGCTCCCCGTCTTCCCAACCCCGGAGGAGATATTCGTCGACCCTGGGCAGAAGCTGAAGCGCAACCTCCCCGTGGGGAAGTTCGTGAGCGACTTGGCCTACCTGGACACGCACTTCCGCCTGCTGCGGGAGGATTTCATCCGGCCCCTGAGGGCCGGGATCTCAGCTCACTTCTCCCTGCGGAACGTGTTCGGGGGCGCTGGGAAGCAGAGGGGGGGCGCTGCGGGTCTACAGGAACGTGCAGCTGGTGAAGGTGGGCACCTCCCCGGCTGGTGCCATGTACATGGCCCGGTTCCAGGCCCCGCAGGGCTCCGCCCACGCCTCCTCCAAACGGCTGCTGAGCGGCTCCCTGACCTGCCTCATCTCCAGGGACTGTGGCCAGGTGTTGTTTGGGACCGTGGTGGGGGGCAACCGGCCTGAGCTCCTGAAGGGGGCCGTGTGGCTGGACATTAAGGCAAACCACAGCGACCTCCTGCGGCAGCACCTGGGGAAAACCAACTTCATCATGGTGGAGTCGCCGGCCTTCGAGTCCTACCGGCACGTGCTGGAGGGGCTGCAGGAGATGGACCCCGCCCAGGTGCTGTTCCAGAGCTACGTCGTGCAGTGCCGCACCCCCGTCGCGCCACCCACGCACTTCGGAGATGCCGTCACCTTCGACCTCTCTGTTCTGCATCCCACTGGGTGAGCCGACAAAGAGACCGGGGGGACATCTGCGGTAGGTCTGGGGTAGCAGGGAGGGGCAGGAAGGAGGAAAGCTGGGCCAGGGGTTAGGGGACTGGCTTAGGACATGGGGGGTCAATTCACTGCACCAGTATGGACTTCCTGAGTGACCTTGGGAAGTCTCTCTGGGCCTCAGTTTCCCATCTGGAACGTGGGGTAACTGCCCTGCTGAGGGCATGAGGATAAACACATTGAGCAGCTTTGAGCCCTGCTGCGGGAATGCCGGCAACGAGACGCAGGCCTGGTTACCGGGAGGTCGTGCAGTCCCCGGGGCTTAAAGAGCCAGGCAGCGGGGCCCAGACTCTCTGCCCGCTGTGGTAACCTCCTGGCTGCCTGTGCTGTGGGGTGAGCTGACCTGGGGGTGGAGGTGAGGCGGGGAGGGGCAGCGCCGTCCGGCTCAGATGATGGGGTCACACCAGTGACTCCTTAGTTCAGTGACTCGCTTTCCAGGCTAGTTTTGACCCCCGATTCCTCCCAGCTCAGCAGACATGACAAATGGGAAAACCTGGCTGCAGCTGCCTGCCCCCCACTGCCTCGGGTCCTCGCCCACGACACACGGCGGGCGCCAGCTGCCCGCTTCCGCCCCGCCTCCCGGCGCCTCCTGCCAAGCCCAGGAGGACGCACTGCACGGGGGGAATGCAGCGCGAGGGACCAGCCCCCGCAGTGCGTGCCTAGCGTCTGGGATGGGACCGCGCCCGTGGCGGCTAGCCCCTTGTGCCACGGCGGGGGCTGTGCTCTCGTTTTAGCACACGGGCTTGATCAGAGCTGGCGCGGGCATGTCCCCCCCGGAGCAGGTAATCGCCCCCAGCTCGACATGCAGACCCACCCTGTTATTCCTTCCGCCGGGCTGCCCAGTGTGGGCCCGGCGCTCAGAGTCTGACCACTAGACTGCGCCGGACGCCCGAGCCCGACATCGCTGGCGGTCGCCGTCCCAACCGCTCCCTCGTACCGATCTGGCCCAGAGTCCCCCTTCCCCACGGAGTGCTACCAGAGCCCCTCTCCCCCCCAGCTTCGCTCTGCTCTGCCATGCCCCGGCTGGCCCGTGGTCCTGCCTCCCGCCCCGGAGGCTGGGTGTAGTCACAGGACCCTCTGTCACAAGCCTTCAGGCGGGCTGAGGCCTCCCTCCCTTTCAAAGGGCCGGCCACGCTGTGACAGTCCACAACCCCCTCCTTTCTGACCCCCCATCAATACCCTGCCTTGCTCTCCCCGGCGCCTGCCACCCATTCTGCCCCTCGCTCAGAACTGGCAGGGGCGTGTGCACCTGACCCAGAATTACGCCCCCCCGGTCCAGTGTAGACGCTCAGACACACCTGCACATGTCGGAGTCCTTCCAGGAGAGGGCTGCAGCTCATGCGTCTCTCTCCACACCTGTGCGGCCGGCAGGTTGAGCACCATGGAGGGCTCCTCGAAGGCGGCTGAGAACATGCCTGGCTCTTGGCTTTCAGGGGCACGTGACCGCGGTGGACCTGACGGCCGTGAGACCCTGCGACTCCTATATCTGGTCTCCAGAGACATTTCCTCACTTAGATGAGTCTCAGATCTTGGCCATTCGAATGGCCTTGAGCAGGGAATTTGTGCTGATTCAGGGCCCACCTGGGACAGGTACGTACTCTGCTTCCCCGCCCACCACTGCAATGGCTCTGGGCTGCCCTGCGGCTTCAGCAACTCCTGCTCCTCACCCTGCCTGCCAGGGCTGCACGATTGCCAGTGAACCTGACCCCGGGGTGAGTTTTATCCTCCCTGGCCCAGCCGCAGGAGGGGCTGAGCCCATCCTTGGGCCCCGTGCTCCGATTCTGAGGAGCCCGCCCCACTCCATCCCCTAATGGGGCTCGCGCGCAAAGGAGACGCTCTAACCCTGGCATTGCTGGAGATGCGGCCTTTGTGGTGTTAACGGCAGCCCCGAGAGCATCTTCGCTGGGGCCTCCCGCTGTGGCAGCAGGGCCTGCGATCTGGTCAGCGTGACCGAACTGTTCCCGGGCCCCTGCCCCACCAGTGACCACAGGCCGTTTCCTTCCAGGCAAAACCTTCTTTGGGCTCCAGATCGTGGAGCTCCTGTTGAGGAATCAGTCTCAGTGGTGGGAGGACCAGAGACCCTTCCTGGTCGTCTGCTACACAAACCATGCTCTGGACCAATTTATGGAAGGTACCTATGACTACCAGGCTCTTGGCATTTGCCCCCAGTCCCTGGGCTTCCAGGTGTCCCGGCGTCCCCGGGCGATGCTCTGGAATTGCTCCCTACGAAGCCAGGCAGGACTCTGTTGAGGTCTCCTCTCTGGGAGCAGACTGTCTGCAGGGCAAACAGCTCACACGTCTTCCACCTTCCTGGGTCTGACCTCGGAGCATTCAGCCTCCTCTGCCCCTCCCTGCGCTTCCCACAGCCAGTCCGCCCAGGTGGAGTCCTGGGGAAGCCAGAGGGTCCTGCCCCCCAACTTCGCAGTCAGACGTGACTCTCAGCCAGCCAGTAAAACAGAGGGTTTATTAGACGACAGGAACATGGTCTAACACAGAGCTTGTAGGTACAGAGAACAGGACCCCTTAGCTGGGTCCATTTTGGGGGGCAGTGAGCCAGATATCCACGTCTGCACTTCACTCCTCGTCCCCAGCCAGCCCGAAACTGAAACTCTCTCCAGCCCCCCTCCTCTGGGCTTTGTCCCTGTCCCGGGCCAGGAGGTCACCTGATTCCTTTGTTCTCCAACCCTTTAGCTCTCACCTTGCAGGGGGAAGGGCCCAGGCCATCAGTTGCCAGGAAACAGTGTCGGCCATTAATGTACCCTGGCCCTTTGCTCTGCAACAATTACACCCCCTTATCCCACCCCCTAGAGACTTAAGAAATGCAGACACCCCTACAGTATTCAGAGGACACATCCACTTTGTCACATCTCTCCCACCTTCAAGACCGAACTGAGCGGGGTCACTTTAGCTGGTGACCTGGGGAAGTTTGAACCCACCAACGTTCCCATGGATGTCCCAGCAACTCCTTGGTGGGAGTTACACCAGGCCCTTCCAGTTTTACACTCTTCCTGTTTCACGTCCTCCCTTAGGTTGGGTGTGCTCGATGGCACTTACAGGCCACATGTGGGAAGGCTTATGCGGCCTGTGCCCTTTTGCCACCCAAATATCCTTGGGGTTCAAACTGAGATCGGGTCTTCTCCCAGCGCTCCAGCCTGGAGGGCTGCAATTCAGGCTCTCTTGGTTAAGAGCCCCCATCTTGACCTTGGCCAGCTCTGGGCTTGGGCAGCCGCTCCCCACCTTGTGACCCAGGTATGACACCTCTGCCATCCCCACCTTACACCTTCCAGCTTTTACTGTCAGTCCGGCCTGCTTCAGGCAACCCAGCCCCCTCTTCACCTGGGACACGTGTTCCTCCCAGGTCTGGCTAGAGACACAGGTATCATCAATGTACGCCAGGGCCAAGTTCTCCACCCCCTCAGCTTGTCTAGTATCTTACCAGGCCTAGGCCTGGGGTAGGCATCAGACACGGTGATGGCTTTAAGCTTTCAATAGTCCCCACAGAACCAGATCGACCCGTCTTCTTTGGGGACCCACCCCACGGGTGAGGCTTGCGGGCTGTTGAATGGCTGGATCACCTCTAAAGCCAGCATGTCCTTGACCTCTCTCTGCAGGCTCTGGGGTGTTTTCCCAGTGACTCTGAACGGGGGACACCTGATGGGAGGACTGGCTCCCACCTCAGGGAAGAGATCCACCTGGGGGTCTCCCCCCTTCACCTCCCAACCGTCCCTTACCAGGTCCAGGGGTCCCCTCACTCTCCTCCCACACAGCAGCTCAAAGGGAAGAACCCGGTGGATTCCTGGGGCACGTCCCCATACCACAAGTGGGGCAGGTGCCTGTCCCCGTCCTGCGGATGCTGATTCATAAAAGTCCTCAGCACCATCCCCAGGGCCCCATAGACTGTCTCCACCAGCCCATGGGATGGAGGGTCACCTGCAGAGGCCCAGGTGGGCCAGACCCCCCCATTTCTCCCACCAGCCCTGGAGCCGGGCTGACAGGACATTGGACCCCTGGTCTGTAAGGACCCCGCTGGGGACCCCCCTCTGCTGAAGATGGTCAGCAGCGCGTCTGCCCTGGTGTCTACCTCGGTGGGGGACAGAGCCCCCGCCCCTGGGTAGCGGGTGGCGAGATCCATCACCTCCAGGACGTATTTGTTCCCCGACCGGGTCGCCTTGCTGAGGGGCCCCACTATGTCCATAGCCCCCTTCTGGAAAGGTTCGTCTGTGATGGGCAGGGGTCTCAAGGGAGCTTCACCCCTATCCCAGCCTTCCCCACCCGCTGTCCGGGGTAGCAGGACCTGCCGTGCCACTGGGCCGCGTCCCAGGCTCCGGGCCAGTCACGGTTCTGCAGCAGCCACTGCCTGGGGCCTGGATCCCCTGGTGTCCCGAGAGGGGGACATCGTGGGCCAGGTACGACAGCCTGCGGGGGTACTTCTGGGGCAACCCCAGCTGCCTCCTGATCCCCCACAGTTCTACTTCCCCTGGGGGAGCCCCTTCCCAGTACAGGAACCCCTTCTCCCACAGGGATCTGTCCCTGCAACCTTCCCCAAGGGGTTTGCAGCGCTGTGGCCAGCAAGTCCTCTCAGCTCCTCCAAGGAGGGATCCTTCTGCGGCTCGGTCTGCAATTCAGCTGCTGGGGGAGGGAGTGGGACTGCTCCCTCTCGTGGGCTGGGCCTGGGGTCACAGTCCCACTGAGCCCTGTCCCTGGTTGCTCCCTCCCTGCTGTGGGATGACTTTCCAGCAGCGCCTCTGGACCGGGCAAACCTGGTTGGCAGCCGTCCTGCCCTGCCTGTGGGTCCCCCCATTCAGCTGGGGTCTTATCTCCCCCCTTGCTCAGCGCTGCCCTTGCTGTCCCAGTGGGGGTAGGCAGCGAGCTTGCTGCTCTCCTTACAGCTTCAGAGCCAGCGTAAGCCCCCTCTCCGGTGTGCAGGGGGGCGGGGAGCATCTCTCTGTCCCACCCAGCCCCAGGGGTCTGGTTACAGGCAGGCAGGTAGCCTGAGCCTAGCCGCTCCTCCCTGCTGCCAGCCAGGTCATCTGCATGTGTAGGGGACAATTTCCTGGTGCAAGTGCTGGAAGAACCAACTAGGGGCAGAGTTCTTCTTGACCTGCTGCTCACAAACCGGGAAGAATTAGTAGGGGAAGCAAAAGTGGATGGGAACCTGGGAGGCAGTGACCATGAGATGGTCGAGTTCAGGATCCTGACACAGGGAAGAAAGGAGAGCAGCAGAATACGGACCCTGGACTTCAGAAAAGCAGACTTTGACTCCCTCCGGGAACTGATCATAGAATCATAGAATATAAGGGTTGGAAGGGACCCCAGAAGGTCATCTAGTCCAACCCCCTGCTCGAAGCAGGACCAATTCCCAGTTAAATCATCCCAGCCAGGGCTTTGTCAAGCCTGACCTTAAAAACCTCTAAGGAAGGAGATTCTACCACCTCCCTAGGTAACGCATTCCAGTGTTTCACCACCCTCTTAGTGAAAAAGTTTTTCCTAATATCCAATCTAAACCTCCCCCACTGCAGCTTGAGACCATTACTCCTCGTTCTGTCATCCGATACCATTGAGAACAGTCTAGAGCCATCCTCTTTGGAACCCCCTTTCAGGTAGTTGAAAGCAGCTATCAAATCCCCCCTCATTCTTCTCTTCTGCAGGCTAAACAATCCCAGCTCCCTCAGCCTCTCCTCATAACTCATGTGTTCCAGACCCCTAATCATTTTTGTTGCCCTTCGCTGGACTCTCTCCAATTTATCCACATCCTTCTTGAAGTGTGGGGCCCAAAACTGGACACAGTACTCCAGATGGGCAGGATCCCCTGGGAGAATAACATGAGGGGGAAAGGAGTCCAGGAGAGCTGGCTGTATTTTAAAGAATCCTTACTGAGATTACAGGGACAAACCATCCCAATGTGTAGAAAGAATAGTAAATATGGCAGGCGACCAGCTTGGCTTAACAGTGAAATCCTTGCTGATCTTGAACACAAAAAAGCAGCTTCAAGAAGTGGAAGATTGGACAAATGACCAGGGAAGAGTATAAAAATATTGCTCGGGGAAGCAGGAGTGAAATCAGGAAGGCCAAATCACACCTGGAGCTGCAGCTAGCAAGAGATGTTAAGAGTAACAAGAAGGGTTTCTTCAGATATGTTAGCAACAAGAAGAAAGCCAAGGAAAGTGTGGGCCCCTTACCGAATGAGGGAGGCAACCTAGTGACAGAGGATGTAGAAAAAGCTAATGTACTCAATGCTTTTTTTGCCTCTGTCTTCACGAACAAGGTCAGCTCCCAGACTACTGCACTGGGCAGCACAGCATGGGGAGGAGGTGACCAGCCCTCTGTGGAGAAAGAAGTGGTTCGGGACTATTTAGAAAAACTGGATGTGCACAAGTCCATGGGGCCGGATGCGCTGCATCCCAGGGTGCTAAAGGAGTTGGCGGATGTGATTGCAGAGCCATTGGCCATTATCTTTGAAAACTCATGGCGATCCGGGGAAGTCCCAGACAACTGGAAAAAGGCTAATGTAGTGCCCATCTTTTAAAAAGGGATGTAGGAGGATCCTGGGAACTACAGGCCAGCCAGCTTCACCTCAGTCCCTGGAAAAATCATGGAGCAGGTCCACAAGGAATCAATTCTGAAGCACTTTGAGGAAAGGAAAGTGATCAGGAACAGTCAGCATGGATTCACCAAGGGCAAGTCATGCCTGACTAATCTAATTGCCTTCTATGACGAGATAACTGGCTCTGTGGATGAGGGGAAAGCAGTGGACGTGTTGTTCCTTGACTTTAGCAAAGCTTTTGACACGGTCTCCCACAATATTCTTGCCAGCAAGTTAAAGAAGTATGGGCTGGATGAATGGAATATAAGGTGGATAGAAAGTTGGCTAGATTGTCGGGCTCAATGGGTAGTGATCAATGGCTCCATGTCTAGTTGGCAGCCAGTATCAAGTGGAGTGCCCCAAGGGTCGGTCCTCGGGCCAGTTTTGTTCAATATCTTCATAAATGATCTGGAGGATGGTGTGGATTGCACTCTCAGCAAGTTTGCAGAGGACACTAAACTGGGAGGAGAGGTAGATACGCTGGAGGGGAGGGATAGGATACAGAGGGACCTAGACAAATGAGAGGATTGGGCCAAAAGAAATCTGATGAGGTTCAACAAGGACAAGTGCAGAGTCCTGCACTTAAGACGGAAGAATCCAATGCACCGCTACAGACTAGGGACCGAATGGCTGGGCAGCAGTTCTGCAGAAAAGGACCTAGGGGTTACAGTGGACGAGAAGCTGGATAGGAGTCAACAGCGTGCCCTTGTTGCCAAGAAGGCCAATGGCATTTTGGGATGTATAAGTAGGGGCATTGCCAGCAGATCGAGGGACGTGATCGTTCCCCTCTGTTCGATATTGGTGAGGCCTCATCTGGAGTACTGTGTCCAGTTTTGGGCCCCACACTACAAGAAGGATGTGGAAAAATTGGAAAGAGTCCAGCGGAGGGCAACAAAAATGATTAGGGGACTGGAACACAGGAGTTATGAGGAGAGGCTGAGGGAACTGGGATTGTTTAGTCTGCGGAAGAGAAGACTGAGGGGGGATTTGATAGCTGCTTTCAACTACCTGAAAGGGGGTTCCAAAGAGGATGGCTCTAGACTGTTCTCAGTGGTAGCAGATGACAGAACAAGGAGTAATGGTCTCAAGTTGCAGTGGGGGAGATTTAGGTTGGATATTAGGAAAAACTTTTTCACTAGGAGGGTGGTGAAGCACTGGAACGGGTTACCTAGGGAGGTGGTGGAATCTCCTTCCTTACATATTTTTATGGTCAGGCTTGGCAAAGCGTTGGCTGGGATGATTTCGCTGGGGATTGGTCCTGCTTTGAGCAGGGGGTTGGACTAGATGACCTCCTGAGGTCCCTTCCAACCCTGATATTCTATGATTCTAGTGTCCCAGCCCTTCTCAAGGTCACCACCTCTTTGCCAGGGTCGAGCTGCAGACTCCTCCACCCCGAGACCGCTCGCTGTAATCCCCAGGGGAACCTTGTTCCTGCAAAAGTCCTTCTCTCTCCAAGGGCCAAGCTGCAGGCTCCTCCCCCCCCCCCCAGAAACCACTCCTCTCTGAGCCTTCAGCACGCCTGGTTCTCATCAATCCCCCTTTGTTTTACTGCTCCTCCAGTCACTTACTGCAGGAAGCGCCATCCACGGGGTGCAGTACATCCCATCTCTGCCACCAGCTGTCACGAAGTCCCTGGGTGATGTCTGGAACTGCTCCCTACGAAGCCAGGCAGGACTCTGGTGAAGTCTCCTCTCTGGGAGCAGACTGTCTGCAGGGCAAGAAGCTCACACAGCTTCCACCTTCCTGGGTCTGACCTCGGAGAATTCAGCATCCTCTGCCCCTCCGTGCGCTTCCCACAGATGTCCACCCAGGTGGGGTCCTGTGGAAGCCAGAGGGTCCTGCCCCCCAACTCCGCAGTCAGACGTGACTCTTAGCCAGCCAGTAAAACAGAGGTTTATTAGATGACAGGAACACAGTCTAAACAGAGCTTGTAGGTACAGAGAACAGGATCCCTCAGCTGGGTCCATTTTGGGGGGCAGTGAGCCAGACAACCATGTCTGCCCTTCACTCCATGTCCCCAGCCAGCCCCAAACTGAAACTCTCTCCAGCCCCACTTCCTCTGGGCTTTGTCCCTTTCCTGGGCCAGGAGGGTACCTGATTCCTTTGTTCTCCAACCCTTTAGCTTTCACCTTGCAGGGGGGATGGGAAGGGACCAGGCCATCCGTTGCCAGGTGTGACTAAGCGGGACTGTTCTTAATGTTTCCTCTGACTAGTGTGGGGGTGCCTCAGTTTCCCCTATGCAGTTCTTAAGTATCTAGGTGGTGGGATAAGGGTGTATGATCATTGCAGAGCCCTAGAGGACAGGTGTGTGCAGGGGTCTGGACACAGAGAATGGCCGACACCCTGTTTCCTGGCAACTGATGGCCTGGCCCTTGCCCCCTGCAAGGTGAGATAGCAGCTGTTCCCCCAGCAAACCCTGTCATTGCGGCACAGCTCAATGCTGCCGTCCCTCTGCCCTGCCCCTTGGAGGGGTCCGGCCCCTTCGCGGGCGCTGAGCTGTGGGCGCTGAGCTCCAGGCATGGCGGGTGCTGAGCTCTGGGTACATCCGGCCCCTTTGGGGGTGCTGAGCTCCGGGTACGGCAGGCACTGAGCTCCGGGCACGTCCAGTCCCTTCGCGGGTGCTGAGCTCTGGGCACGGCCGGTCCTGTTGCGGGCGCTGAGCTCCGGGCACGGCCGGTCCCGTCGCGGGCGCTGAGCTCCGGCACGGCCGGTCCCGTCGCGGGCGCTGAGCTCCGGCACGGCCGGTCCCTCGGCCTGACGGTGGGGCCTACGTCTCCTTTTGGCTGATATTTTGCTATTTCTGAGCACTTCTAGTCCGGCACGGCCGGTCCTGTTGCGGGGCTGAGCTCCGGGCACGGCCGGTCCCGTCGCGGGCGCTGAGCTCCGGCACGGCCGGTCCCGTCGCGGGCGCTGAGCTCCGGCACGGCCGGTCCCGTCGCGGGCGCTGAGCTCCGGGCACGGCCGGTCCCGTCGCGGGCGCTGAGCTCCGGGCACGGCCGGTCCCGTCCGGGCGCTGAGCTCCGGGCACGGCCGGTCCCGTCGCGCTGAGCTCCCGCCGGTCTGTTGGCTGAGTCCCCGTCCCTGTGTCTGGTTAGCTCCCCTGACCGATCTCCGTGATCGCACGCCGGCCCGTCGCGGGCGCTGAGCTCCGGGCACGGCCGGTCCCGTCGCGGGCGCTGAGCTCCGGGCACGGCCGGTCCCGTCGCGGGCGCTGAGCTCCGGGTCCAGCTTCTCCAGTGAGGGGGTAGCATTGCCGGACATCTCAGGTCGGCACGGCCGCTGCCTCTCCCTGCACAACGCACCGACCAGCCCCCTGCTTCCAGCCCTGCACAATCCACCCTGTCCCCGTGGGCTGGCGGCCAGGCTCGACCTCCAGCCCCCACATGGGGCTGATGTGACCTCCCGCGCTTGCGAGGGGTGGGAAGAGGTTCCCAGCCGAGCTGACTAGCAGCATCAGGCCAGGCCAGGCTCTGGGACGGGGGTCCGTGTAGTCAGCCCCAGGCAGCCAGCCCTGCCTCTTGCCCCCCGCGCAGGGATCCTGCGGTTCCAGCCCTCCGGCGTGGTGCGCGGTGGGGGAAGGAGCAGAAGTGACAAGGTGGCAGGTTGCTCCTTGAGGAACCTTCGCCAAAAGCAGCTGCCGGGCTCCTGGGGGCCGCGGAGAAGCACCAGCATGGCTGGGTACGTTGCTAGCATGTGGGGCGCGGGGCTCTGGGGTGAGCACCGTTGCATGCCCCGGGAACAGAGTTGGGGGGGAGCGAGAGCCAAGTGATCGGGTGGGCGCTGGGCGGGAGGCCCCACTCCCCCCCCCGCCCCGGGAGCGCGGCTCTCCCTCCCCTGCCCTGCCCCTCTCCCCCACCCCCGAGCGCTGCTCTCCCCTCCCCCACCACACTCGCTCCCCCGCCGTGCCCCACTCACCCCCCCCCACCCCTGGAGAGCGGCTCTCCCTCCCCCATCCCACTCACTCACTCCCCTGCCCTGCCCCACTCTCTCCCTCCCCCCCAGAGCACGGCTCTCCCTGCCCGCCCCGCCCTGTGCCCCGGGCCCATGCTCTGTTCCACCCCAGATGCGGAAGACCTTGCAGAAGCAGAAGGAGAGCATCGCCTACCGCACCACGGTGCTGGAGCTCCGCCGCCGAGGGATCCTCACGGACACAGAGCTGGCCGCGGCGATCCGCGATGACAACCTGGCGCGCTCCTGGGTGAGGCGGGGGTGGGGAGGACATAGGACCCCGCTGCCCCTTCCCCAGGGCTGGGCTCCCCCATCCGAGCCCAGCTGGGGTGGGCGGCTGGGGCCCCGTGTCACGGAGTACCCAGGCGATGCTCTGGAACTGCTCCCTACGAAGCAGATGACAGGAACAGGGTCTAACAGAGCTTGTAGGTACGGAGAACAGGACTCCTCAGCCGGATCCATTTGGGGGGGCAGTGAGCCAGACAACCCCGTCTGCCCTTCACTCCATGTCCCCAACCAGCCCCAACTCAAACTCTCTCCAGCCCCTCCTCCTCTGGGCTTTGTCCCTTTCCGGGCCCGGGAGGTCACCGGATTCCTTTGTTCTCCAACCCTTTAGCTCTCACCTTGCAGGGGGGAAGGGCCCAGGCCATCAGTGGCCAGGAGACAGAGTGTCGGCCATTTATGTACCCTGGCCTTTTGCTCTGCAACAATCCCACCCCCTTATCCCACCCCCTAGAGACTTAAGAAATGCCTAGGGGAAACTGAGGCACCCCTACAGCATTCAGAGGAAACATTAAGAACCGTCCCGCTCCGTCACACCCCGTCTCAGTGTCGGCCGCTCCACGGGGCACTTCGACATGTGCGACTGGCTGAAGATCGACCCCGGGGCGGCGCAGGAGAGGAAGCCGGCCCCGGCTCAGGGCAGGGGCAGGAAGGCAGGTGAGTGGCTGGGCAAAGGGGTGTGAGCTGCCGCAGGCTATGCTCAGAGCTCCTCCTGCGGAGCCCAGGCAGACGAGCCCCCGGCCTCCCCACAAAAGGGGAACTGTGTGATGGCCGCTACTTCCTTAGAGCTGATCCAGGAGCGCAGGAGATTAAAGCTCCGCAGCTCCCTTGTAGCTCCACTCTTCTGGAATCTGGTCACCGCTATCAAAATCCAGCCCCTTCCCACTGGCCGAGCACCCAGCACTGGCTCCGTGTTTTCCAGCTGCGACCCAAACCCGCCGATTACACCTTGGAGAAGAAGTATTTCCTCGGCATCTCCCTGTTCGAGCGCATGATAAATAATCAGATCCCCTATGTGCAGCTGCTCTATCAGGTGAGTGATGCTGTCCATGTCTCTGGGAGGGGCCCGGCTGCACCGATCGCTCCCCAGGCCCCTCCCTGCGGCAGGGTTAGCTGCTCGCTGCAGCTGGTGACCCTCTCAGGTAGCTGGTGGGAGGGTTGTACAGTGGCAATGTGAGTTATCATCCCTGTCCATCTGGAGAGCCTCTGAGTAACTGCCCTGGCTGGTTGTGAACGCAGACGGTCTCCGGAAGATCCTCACTCTGTGTCACAACTCTGGGGAGGGCTGACGGTGTCAGGGTGGGGAATAACGGCAAGTAGCTGAACAGACACCAAGCCAGGACACCGCATGCACTGGGAGGCCTTGGGCTGCTCCCCAGGCCCGATCTACAAAACATGTGTTTCACCAACGCAGCTGATGGGCACAATGTGAACTATGGGCAGAATTCTCCATGTCCACTGCCTAGATGTGGGCACTGAAATAAACATCTGGGTTATCGAAAGGGCTGAGCAAGAGCCCCGCTGCCTGAAGTCACTGGGAGCTGCTCAGTGCTCAGCTCCTTTGAGCAACTGGGCACTTAGGGGCCTAAATAATGGTGGGGCAGCAGCTCACAAACCGGGTAGAATTAGTGGGGGAAGCAAAAGTGGATGGGAATCTGGGAGGCAGTGACCATGAGTTGGTTGAGTTCAGGATCCTGACACAGGGAAGAAAGGTAAGCAGCACGATACGGACCCTGGACTTCAGGAAAGCAGACTTCGACTCCCTCAGGGAACGGATGGCCAGGATCCCCTGGGGGACTAACTTGAAAGGGAAAGGAGTCCAGGAGAGCTGGCTGTATTTCAAGGAATCCCTGTTGAGGTTACAGGGACAAACCATCCCGATGAGTCGAAAGAATAGTAAATATGGCAGGCGACCAGCTTGGCTTAATGGTGAAATCTTAGCGGATCTTAAACATAAAAAAGAAGCTTACAAGAAGTGGAAGGTTGGACATATGACCAGGAAAGAGTATAAAAATATTGCTCGGGCATGTAGGAATGTTATCAGGAGGGCCAAATCGCACCTGGAGCTGCAGCTAGCCAGAGATGTCAAGAGTAACAAGAAGGGTTTCTTCAGGTATGTTGGCAACAAGAAGAAAGCCAAGGAATGTGTGGGCCCCTTACTGAATGAGGGAGGCAAACTAGTGACAGAGGATGTGGAAAAAGCTAATGTACTCAATGCTTTTTTTGCCTCTGTTTTCACTAACAAGGTCAGCTCCCAGACTGCTACGCTGGGCATCACAAAATGGGGAAGAGATGGCCAGCCCTCTGTGGAGATAGAGGTGGTTAGGGACTATTTAGAAAAGCTGGACGTGCACAAGTCCATGGGGCCGGACGAGTTGCATCCGAGAGTGCTGAAGGAACTGGCGGCTGTGATTGCAGAGCCATTGGCCATTATCTTTGAAAACTCGTGGCGAACCGGGGAAGTCCCGGATGACTGGAAAAAGGCTAATGTAGTGCCAATCTTTAAAAAAGGGAAGAAGGAGGATCCTGGGAACTACAGGCCAGTCAGCCTCACTTCAGTCCC